ACAATTACAGTATTTGAGTTCGTGGGAGAATGGGTAACCGGTTTGGTTCGAACTTCGGGTTTGACCACGTGGCCCGGGGCGATTTTGGAATTTTTGGGGAAAAACTTTGGGAACTTCATTTTTATGCATTCAAATTTATTCATTTAGTGTTTATTAAAGTAATTGAGCAATTTGTGACTAGATTCGAGCGGATTGGAGGTGGAATCGCGGGGTAAAGCGATAGTTGAGGTTTGAGTGGAATTCAAGGCATCGAGGTAAGTGTTTGGTTTGACCCTAGCTTGAGGGATTACGAGTTGAGTCATAATTGCTACTTGTTTGTGTTGGGTACGACGTATGGGCATGGTGACGAGTATCCATGCGTCGGAGTCAAGCATGACCGTGAGTCTTAATTTGATAATTGTGTACCCTTGTTTGATCCTATGAACGTTGTGATTAAATATTGGTATTAGTTGTGCCAGGAAAAAGTTGAATAGGATTGGTTATAGCTGACTCTCCCTTGTCGGGATGTTTGACTTGTTGTTATAGTTCCCTTGCCGGGAAAGAGTATTAATTTGATTGTTCCCTTGCCGGGATTGTATTGTGTATTGTGTTGAAAGTAAAGGGAGCAGGTGGTACGCCTACCACAAGTGATAATTAAAATGGGAACGGGTGGTACGCCTACCACAAATGATATTAAAATGGGAACGGGTGGTACGCCTACCACAAATGATATTGAAATGGGAGCGAGTGGTACGCCTACCACAAATGATATTGAAATGGGAGCGAGTGGTACGCCTACCACAAATGATATTGAAATGGGAGCGAGTGGTACGCCTACCACAAATGATATATTGAAATGGGAGCGAGTGGTACGCCTACCACGAGTGATACCGAAATGGGAGCGGGTGGTACGCCTACCACGAGTGACATTGAAATGGGAGCGGGTGGTACGCCTACCACGAGATATTGAGAAATGGGATCGGGCTGCACGCCTGCAACAAGATGAGTTGAATATGAAAGTTGTTTTACCTTTCCATTATTGTTAGAAGTTAAACTGTAGATGTACGTACCATTATTCCTGATATTTTGACTCTATCTGTTACCCTGAAGCATGCCCCCTTCCCCAGCATAAATTGTTATTTTTCTGCTTTCCGTTGTACTTGTATATATATATATATATATCTGCACAGGTTTATCTGGAGTCTGGCCCTAGCCTCGTCACTACCTCGCCGGGGTTAGGCAAGACACTTACCAGCACATGGGGTCGGTTGTGCTGATGCTACACTCTGTGCTATTTGCACAGGTCCAGGTTTCGAGCAGCAGCAGCAGCATTAGTACGGGAGTAGGCCTTCAGTCCGGTGAGACCCGAGGTAGCCTTGCATGCGTCCGCAAGCCCGGCGTCTCCCTTATTCTCTCTTTTTAGCATGTTGCCTCATTGTATTCGAGACAAACAGCTTATGTTTTCTTTCAGACGTTTGTGTTCAGTATTCCTTAGCAGTTCGTGAGTATTGTGACACCAGTCTTGGGTAGAGGATTATATTGACTATTCCGCATGTTGATTCAGTTTCTATAATTAAGATTTCCGCTACTATTTAATTTCATTGTTTTTATATTTTTGCCATGAATTGTTAAAAGGGATTATGTCGTAAACGGAAAGTAATTAATAATTTGGCTTGCCTAGCTTCTACGAGTAGGCGCCATCACGACTCCCGAGGCTGGGAAATCCGGGTCGTGACAAGTTGGTATCAGAGCTCTAGGTTACATAGGTCTCACAACTCACGGACAAACATAGTAGAGTCTGAGGGATCGGTACGGAGACGTCTATATTTATCCCCCAGAGGCTATAGAGTTAGGAAAACTTCAGATTTGTTCTTTCTTGTCGTGCGGTGCTATTTCTCGGACACCGATTGAGTTTCTGCTCTGTTCTTTCGCAGATGGCGAGAATCCACGCTTCTTCATCGACCACTCAGCAGTCCAATTCCCCAGCAGCAGCCCTAGTGGCGGAGCCTCAGGTTGATTTGGAGGAGGAGGTTCCAGCCCCAGCAGTTCCGGTGGGCCCAGCTCAGGTCCCAGTGGGGTTCATTGCCTCCCCAGTTCTTCAGGACGCTCTAGTCCGATTGGTAGGCTTCGTGGAGAGTGTCATTCGAGCGGGTTTGCTTCCAGTAGCACCAACCACTCCTCGGGCTGGAGGAGGGGTTCAGACTCCTGCTACACGTACTCCGGAGCAGGTAGCTTCCCAGGTTCAAGTTCCAGTGGTTCAGCCAGTCGTGGCAGGTCAGCCGGTATAGTGGCTCAGACCGGGAGTGAGATCACTTTTCAGGAAGCGGCCAATGTGGGTCGTAGAGTTGAGATTGTTCTGCCACATGGAGGTGGTCATGGGTCGGATAAGAGGCCCCGTCATGTAGGCAGATTCAGTGGTACCTTATCAGGAGGTAGAGGTTCTTATGGTAGAGGCCATCCTCCTAGGCCCTTTCAGTCAGCTCTCCAGGTCACTCATGGTACTTCAGGTGGCCATTCAGGTCGACAGGGTCAGTCTCAGTTTCCTCAGCTTCAGCATTCGCGTAGATGCTATGAGTGTGGTGAGCATGGTCACCTCAGGAGGGCTTGCCCGAGGTTGAGGGGTGCTCAGCTGCAGCAGTCGAGGTCTTGCCACGCTTGTGGTGACCCGAGGCACATTGTCAGATTTTGCCCTCGAGCTTCGAGCAGCTTTCAGCATCAGAGTGCTCATACTAGGATTCAGGCACCAGAGGTTCCACAGCCTGCTAAGCCAGCTAGAGGCGGTGGCAGGGGTGTTAGAGGTGGAGGTAGAGGTCATAGAGGTGGAGCTCAGGCCGCCGGAGGTAAAGGCCAGCCAGCAGCCAGGCCAGAGGCTGAGTCTTCAGATGCAGACATTACAGGTACTATTCTGGTTTGTGATAGAAATGCTTCAGTGCTATTTGACCCTGGGTCTACGTATTCGTATGTGTCATCCTACTTTGCCCCGTATTTGATCATGCCTAGTGATGCGTTGGGTATTCCTGTTTATGTGTCTACGCCGATGGGTAATTCCATCGTGGTCGATCGAGTCCATCGCTCTTGTGTTTTGGTGATTGGGGGTTTGGAGACTCGTGTAGATCTGTTGCTTTTAGATGTGGTCGACTTTGATATCATATTGGGGAGTGACTGGTTATCACCCTATCACGCTATCTTGGATTGCCATGCCAAGACCGTGACCTTAGCTTTACCGGGTATGCCTCGTTTAGAGTGGAGAGGGACTCCAGGCCATTCTACCCACAGTGTCATATCGTATATGAAGGCTCGGCGTATGGTCGAGAAGGGGTGTTTGGCGTATTTAGCTTATGTTCGGGACTCCAGTGCTGAGGTTCCCTCTATTGATTCCGTACCCGTTGTATGTGAGTTCCCTGATGTTTTCCCTTCAGACCTGCCGGGTATGCCACCCGACAGGGATATTGATTTCTGCATTGATCTGGTTCCGGGCACTCAGCCCATTTCTATTCCACCATATCGTATGGCCCCGCCGGAGTTGAAGGAGTTAAAGAGCAGTTGCAGGATTTGCTTGAGAAGGGTTTGATTAGACCCAGTGTGTCTCCTTGGGGAGCGCCGGTGTTATTTGTTAAGAAGAAGGATGGGTCAATGAGAATGTGTATTGATTACCGGCAATTGAACAAGGTAACGATTAAGAATAAGTATCCACTGCCGAGGATTGATGATTTGTTCGACCAGCTTCAGGGTGCCAGGGTATTTTCCAAGATTGACTTGCGATCTGGCTACCATCAGTTGAGGATTAGGGCATCCGATGTCCCTAAGACAGCTTTCCGCACTCGGTATGGGCATTATGAGTTCTTGGTTATGTCATTCGGGTTGACAAATGCCCTAGCAGCTTTCATGGACTTGATGAACCGAGTGTTCAGGCCTTATTTGGATTCATTCGTGATAGTGTTCATTGATGATATACTGATATACTCCCGCAGCCAGGAGGAGCACGAGCAGCACCTCAGAGTGGTTCTTCAGACTCTGAGGGATAGTCAGTTATATGCCAAGTTCTCCAAATGTGAGTTCTGGCTGAGTTCAGTTGCATTTCTGGGTCATGTTGTATCAGCTGAGGGTATTCAGGTGGACCCAAAGAAGATAGAGGCAGTCAAGAACTGGCCTAGACCAGCATCAGCTACAAAGATTCGGAGTTTCTTGGGGTTGGCAGGCTACTACAGACGGTTCGTGGAGGGATTTTCATCTATTGCAGCCCCGATTACCAGATTGACCCAGAAGGGTGCCCAGTTCAGGGGGTCAGATGAGTGTGAGGCGAGCTTTCAGAAGCTTAAGACAGCTCTGACTACGGCACCGGTGTTGGTTTTGCCCACAGGATCAGGGCCTTATGCAGTCTATTGTGATGCTTCCCGTATTGGGTTTGGTGCAGTGTTGATGCAGGACGGCAAGGTCATTGCCTATGCTTCGAGGCAGTTGAAGATTCATGAGAAGAATTATCCAGTGCATGATTTAGAGTTGGCAGCCATAGTTCTCGCCTTGAAGATTTGGAGGCATTATTTGTATGGCGTGGCGTATGAGCTGCTCACTGATCATAAGAGCATCCAGTACTTGTTCAAGCAAAAGGAGTTGAATTTGAGGCAGAGGAGGTGGTTGGAGTTGTTGAAAGACTGTGATGTCACCATTTTATATCATCCGGGGAAGGCCAATGTGGTGGCCGATGCTTTGAGTAGGAAATCAGCCAGTATGGGCAGTCTTGCTTATTTTCCGACCAATCAGAGGCCGCTTGCTTTGGATGTTCAGGCTTTGGCCAATCGATTTGTGAGGCTGGATATTTCTGAGCCTAGCCGAGTATTAGTTTGCATGGTTGCTCGTTCGTCATTATTGGAGCGTATCCGTGATCGGCAATTTGATGATCCCCATTTGTGTGTCCTTAGAGACACGGTAAAGCGCGGAGGTGCCAGGCATGTTACCTTAGATGATGATGGAGTTTTGAGATTGCATGGTCGAGTATGTGTGCCTAATGTGGGTGGGCTTCGAGAGTCGATTTTAGAGGAGGCCCATAGTTTCTGGTACTCTATTCATCCGGGCGCCGCGAAGATGTATCAGGATTTGCGGCAGCATTACTGGTGGCGTATAATGAAGAAGGATATCGTGGCATATGTGACTCGTTGTTTGAATTGTCAGCAGGTTCAGTACGAGCATTAGAGGCTTGGTGGTTTATTTCAGAGGATTGAGCCTCCCGAGTAGAAGTGGGAGAGGATCACTATGGACTTCGTTACTGGACTTCCGTTGACCCAAAAGAAGTTCGATGCAGTTTGGGTCATTGTTAATAGGCTGACCAAGTCAGTGCATTTCATTCCTGTGGCAGTCTCCTATTCATCCGAGAGTTTTGCTGAGATTTATATCCGGGAGATTGTTCGCCTTCGTGGTGTGCCGACATCTATCATTTCGGATCGGGGTACGCAGTTTACCTTGCGCTTCTGGAGAGCAGTTCAGCGAGAGCTGGCACACGGGTTGAGTTGAGCACAGCATTCCATCCCCAGACGGACGGGCAGTCCGAGCGGACTATTCAGATTTTGGAGGATATGATCCGGGCTTGTGTTATTGACTTTGAAGGTTCGTGGGATCAGTTCTTGCCTTGAGCGGAGTTTGCCTACAACAACAGCTACCAGTCGAGCATCCAGATGTCTCCTTATGAGGCTTTATATGGTAGGCGGTGTCGGTCTCCGATTGGATGGTTCGAGCCGGGAGAGGCTCGGTTGATAGGTACAGATTTGGTTTAGGAGGCCTTGGACAAGGTCAAGATCATTCAGGATGGGATTCGTTCAGCTCAGTCTAGGCAAAAGAGCTATGCAGATCGTAAGGTTCGAGATGTAGCTTTCATGGTTGGCGAGCGGGTATTGCTCCGAGCGTCGCCTATGAAAGGCGTGATGAGGTTTGGGAAGAAGGGCAAGCTTAGCCCTAGGTTCATTGATCCGTTTGAGATTCTGGATCGAGTGGGAGCGGTGGCTTATAGACTTGCATTGTCGCCCAGCTTATCAGCCGTGCATCCAGTTTTTCATGTATCCATGCTTCGGAGGTATCACGGCGATCCAGCACACGTGTTAGATTTTAGCACTGTCCAGTTGGACAAGGATTGTCTTATGAGGAGGAGCCGGTAGCTATTCTAGACCGGCAGGTTCGTCAGTTGAGATCTAAGAGTTTTCCTTCTGTTCGTGTTCAGTGGAGAGGTCAGCCCCCTGAGGCTTCGACCTGGGAGTCCAAGTCCGATATGCGGAGCCGTTATCCTCATCTTTTCCCCGACTCAGGTACTTCATTCTTTTGTCCGTTCGAGGACGAACGGTTGTTTTCGAGGTGGAGAATGTGACGACCCAAAGGGTCATCACCTGTTTTCTTACCCATTCTATACTTCTGAGGCCTTGAAAACCTCATTTAGGGTTGCCTCGATTTGCGTGCGCAGTACGGGCGCGTAGCCGGAAAGCTTAAATATGAATTCTGTGAAACAAAATGCTAAATTTTGACATTAAATTGATTAAATTTGACTTCGGTCAACATTTTGGGCAAACGGACCCGGATCCGTGATTTGACGGTCCCGGAGGGTCCGTAGAAAAATATGGGACTTGGGCATATGCCCGGAATCGAATTCCGAGGTCCCAAGCCCAAGAAATAAATTTTTGTGTGAAATTGTTTTCTGGAAATGATTAAGGAAAATGAAAATGAAATTTGATTAAAAGACTGTGGTATCAGGCCCGTATTTTGGTTCCGGCGCCCGGTACAAGTCTTATATATGGTTTAAGCGCTTTCTGTAAAGTTTGGTTGAAACCGGACGTCGTATGACGTGTTTCGGGCTTAAAATGGAAATTTGATGTTTTAAGAAAACTTGGAGGAAATTATGAATTTTGAGGTTTAATTCGATGTATATGATGTTATTTTGGCGATTTGATCGCGCGGATAAGTCCGAAGGATGTTTTTGAGGTTGTTTGTATATTTGGTTTGGAGCCCCGAGGGCTCGGGTGAGTTTTGGATAGGCGTCGGAGTCCATTTTTAACTTAGGAAAAATCTGGTATGAACGGGCCTGCAGGATTTGCGAAGCCTGGTTCGCAAATGCGAAGGCTGGTTCGCAAATGCGAAACCAGCCCAGGCCTGATTTTGATCGCAAATGCGAGTATTTTCTTCGCAAATGCGAAGTTCAAAGTTTCGCAAATGCGAGACCAAGTTCGCAAATGCGAAGGTCTCCTGTAAGGCCTGGCTTCGCAAATGCGAAACAGAGGTCGCAATTCCCATAATTTAGTCGGGGTTCGCAATTGCGAACCCCAGTTCGCAAATGCGACATCAGAGACCCACCAATTTCATACTTAGTCGAATTTTAAATCATTTTTCACCCCACTTTCAAAATACAACTCCTTAGGCGATTTTTCAAGAACAAGTTTCATCCCAAACCATTTGTAAGTCGATTTTTACTTAACTCTTTCAATCATTAGCATCATTTAACGTGTTTTCAACTTAAAATCAATGATTTTCATGGGATAAATTGGGGGTTTTGGGTAGAACCTAGGTTTTCTATAAATTGGGGATGTGGACCTCAATTTGAGGTCCGATTTCAAAATAAATTACATATTTGAGTTCGTGGGGGAATGGGTAACCGGGTTTTGGTTCGAACTTCGGGTTTTGACCACGTGGGCCCGGGGGCAATTTTGGAATTTTTGGGGAAAAAGTTGGGAACTTCATTTTTATGCATTCAAATTGATTCATTTAGTGTTTATTAAAGTAATTGAGCAATTTGTGACTAGATTCGAGCGGATTGGAGGTGGAATCGCAGGGTAAAGCGATAGTTGAGGTTTGAGTGGAATTCAAGGCATCGAGGTAAGTGTTTGGTTTAACCCTAGCTTGAGGGATTAGGAGTTGAGTCATAATTGCTACTTGTTTGTGTTGGGTACGACGTATGGGCATGGTGACGAGTATCCATGCGTCGGAGTCAAGCATGACCGTGAGTCTTAATTTAATAATTGTGTACCCTTGTTTGATCCTATGAACGTTGTGATTAAATATTGGTATTAGTTGTGCCAGAAAAAAGTTGAATAGGATTGGTTATAGCTGACTCTCCCTTGTCGGGATGTTTGACTTGTTGTTATAGTTCCCTTGCCGGGAAAGAGTAATAATTTGATTGTTCCCTTGCCGGGATTGTATTGTGTATTGTGTTGAAAGTAAATGGAGCGAGTGGTACGCCTACCACAAATGATATTGAAATGGGAGCGAGTGGTACGCCTACCACAAATGATATTGAAATGGGAGCGAGTGGTACGCCTACCACAAATGATATATTGAAATGGGAGCGATGGTACGCCTACCATAAATGATATTGAAATGGGAGCGAGTGGTATGCCTACCACAAATGATATATTG